CCTTGCCCTCTGCACTCCCCACCCCAGCACTAGGACATGGGGGGCAGGGACGGGGCAGGGCAGATGGTGACCCCAGGAGGCCGCTTCCATGGGGAAGGACCTCCTCTCCCGCCCAGGCAGGGATGGTCCAGAATGCTCAGCGCTAGCATCCCCGCCCCCCCGCCCCCCATGTCGGTGCTAGGAGCGCCCAGGAGACGGTGTGGTGGGAACCTGAAGTTCCGCAGAGCCTGGCCGTGGTCACGAAGCCTCCTCAGACCAGGCCCTGCCCCACCCACAGGCCTCCCCGCAGTTTCCAGTCCCCGAAACATCGCGTCCTGTGACAACAGAGCCATTGACGCCACATCCCGTGGCTGCTGGGAGCCCTCCCAAGGGTCCTGAGTCATGTGCCCTGTTGATGGAGGACAAGTCACCTTCCGGCCCTGGCTGTCCCATGGACAGTGTCCGTCCCCCCCCTCCCTCGGGCTGGCTTGGCCGGCCACCTTCCTCCTGTCCAAAGGGCCGTGGCCTCAATGGGACTCCCGCCTTCCACGCCCTCTGGCTGTCACCTTCCTGCCTCTGCCTCCCGCTAGCCTCCTGTCCTGTCTGTGAATGGAGTTGAGAGGCAGGTGTCAGATCAAGGCCAGTCTCCTACGCCCGTCTGTGTTAGTTCCATCATCACTGGGTGAGGGGTCTGCCCCCCTCACAGGCCGGGGTGGGGCCCGGAGTGCGGGGGCTTTGAGCCAGGGGGGACTTGGACTTGGGGCTCGGGCATGGGGAACCCCAGCATGACCGAGGGGCTGAAGGGCCGAGGGGGAGGCCTGGACCCTGGAGGCCCAGGCTGGGCAGCGGTGGAGGGCTGTGGCTGTTGCGTCCCTGGGTCTACGTGTTTGGAGCCCCCCCCGCGCCCAGTGTGTGTGTCTGAAGGTGCCAGCTCGGGCCTGTGCCTCCCTCCCCTCCATTGCCCCCAAACACCCCCTGTCCCAGCAGGACGGGGATGGGCACAGCCACGCCATGCCCCCAGCCAGGGTATAAATAGTCCTGGCGGGCTGTCCCAGCTGGGGGGGCTCTGCTGGCAGCCCCGCTTCCTCTCTGGCCACTTCCTGGCTCGGGGTGGGGGAGTGTTTACTTTCCTGTTGTCACTATGGCTGGGTGGCCAGGCGGGGGACTCCAAGTGGCCCGACAACAGGTGCAGGACAGGTGCCCAGGCTGCCCTGCCCAGGACTTCAGAGGCGCCGCCGGCCTGGGGGCGAGGCCGCAGCCAGGCCGGGATCGGCCCTTTGATCCCTCGGCGTCCCTGCGTCCCAGAGGTTGGCCGAGGTCATCACCTGTATTCCCTTGTCGCCGCACCATCAGGCTGGACAGGCAAGGCCTCTGCCTGCCCTCAGCCCTCCCACGTGGGCTCTGGTCGGCTGAGGGAGTCCCCTGGCTGCCCTCCCTCCGCAGGCCCCTCCCAGCACATCCGGGAGCTCTGGCCAAGGCTGCCCTCACCACGGCCCCTCCAGCGCTGCTCCCAGCCCACAGCAGGGGCCAGGGCGGCCAGGCCATTCCAGGCAGCTGCCTGAAGGTGACCTTGACTGATGGGTGGGACCACCTCAGGCCGCCCTTTAGGGCCTTGGATCCCAGCTGTTCTCCCTCTCCAGGCCTCCCACTTGATTGTTCCACCTGTGAGATGGGTAACTAACCACCTGTGAGATGACTAACCACCTGTAAGATGGGTAACCAGCTGTGAGACGGGTAACCACCTGTGAGATGGGTTAGCAGCTGTGAGATGGGTAACCAGCTGTGAGACGGGTTAGCAGCTGTGAGACGGGAGCAGCTGTGAGACGGGTAACCAGCTGTGAGACGGGTAACCAGCTGTGCGACGGGTAACCAGCTGTGAGATGGGTAACCACCTGTGAGATGGGTTAGCAGCTGTGAGATGACTAACCACCTGTGAGACGGGTTAGCAGCTGTGAGACGGGTAGCCAGCTGTGAGACGGGTAGCCAGCTGTGAGACGGGTAACCACCTGTGAGACGGGTTAGCAGCTGTGAGACGGGTAACCAGCTGTGCGACGGGTAACCAGCTGTGAGATGGGTAACCACCTGTGAGATGGGTTAGCAGCTGTGAGATGACTAACCACCTGTGAGACGGGTTAGCAGCTGTGAGACGGGTAACCAGCTGTGAGACGGGTAACCACCTGTGAGACGGGTTAGCAGCTGTGAGACGGGTTAGCAGCTGTGAGATGGGTAACCAGCTGTGAGACAGGTAACAACCTGTGCGACGGGTAACCAGCTGTGAGACAGGTAACAACCTGTGCGACGGGTAACCAGCTGTGAGATGACTAACAACCTGTGGGACGGGTAACCAGCTGTGAGATGACTAACAACCTGTGGGACGGGTAACCAGCTGTGAGACGGGTAACCAGCTGTGAGACGGGTTAGCACCTGTGAGATGGGCTAGCAGCGGGGAGACAGTTGGGCATGACCCCGGGTGAATGCCTCATCCGATTCAGGACGTGTGTGCACGTGTGCAGCCTGGGCCCTGTGCAGACACGCATGTGCCCTGCGTGCCGCCATCTCAGGCCTCTGTGCTGGTGACATTCATCCTCCTCATTACCTTCCCTCTCCTCCTGAGCTAAGAGTATTTGGGGGGTGGGGTGGGGGGGGCTTGCCAGGGAACCCCTGGCTCTCTCCATCCCAGGGTTTCCTGAGTCCTGTGGGTGCCACTGGCCAAGTTCCCTCCTGTCCTTCCCTCCCGGGAGGAGGACTTCCCCCGGCTCCTGGGGGAGGGAAGGACAAGCTGCCGGCTTCACGCAGGAGAGAAACCGAGGTCCCTGTCCCGTCCTGGGGCTGCCGCAGTCCCGGGGCCTCTTCCCGGAGAAAGCGCTCCTGGCTGCTCAGAGCGCCTGAGAATCCCACCGTTAGCAGCCGTGGGCCTGGGGAAGCCCCGTCCATCGGGCAGTGGCCGCAGTCGGGCGTGCCCGTGGCCTGGCTAACCCACTCAGACACAGTGCTAGCTTTGCCCTCTGTCTGGTGGTGAGGACAGGGCACCCGGCTCTGTGCCAACGTCTGCCGTCTGCGGGCTGTCCTGAGCTCGCCTGCCCCCACCGCCCGTTCATTAACCCTTTGAGGTCCTGCGGGCGCTGGCCCCGCCCTGGCATCAGCCCGACCAGAGCAGACGCTTTGATGCCGCCACACTCGCTGGCTCCTGCCCAGTCCTTTCATTGGGGCCCAGGCCTGCGGGATGGCCGAGGATCAGGGCTTCAGCTTTGGGTGTGGCCCCTCTCTGCTGACCCACCTGTCCCTTTCTCCTCCCAGCAAGTCAGCAGCTAGGTCAGTGGTCGGCAAACCGCGGCTCGCGAGCCACATGCGGCTCTTTGGCCCCTTGAGTGTGGCTCTTCCACAAAATACCACGTGCGGGTGCGCACGTACAGTGCAATTGAAACTTCATGGCCCATGCGCAGAAGTCGGTATTTTGTGGAAGAGCCACACCCGAGGGGCCAAAGAGCCGCATGTGGCTCTCGAGCTGCAGTTTGCCGAGCCACAGTTTGCCAACCACTGAACTAGGTAACTAGATCCCGGCCGGTGTGGCTCAGTGGTTGAGCATCGCCCTATGAACCAGGATAGTCACAGTCTGATTCCCAGTCAGGGCACATGCCCGGGTTGTGGGCTCGAGCCCCAGTGTGCGGCGTGTAGGAGGCAGCCCATCAATGCTTCTCTCTCATCATTGATGTTTCTCTCCCTCTCCCTCTCCCTTCCTCTCTGAAATCAATAAAAAATATATATAAAGTCAGGGACTAGAGAGGAAGCTAAGTGCTCCCTGGAGGCGAGGCTGGGGATGAAGATGACCGAGTGGTGGGGGACCCCCTCTGCTAAGGGGGGTGTGACTGGATGGTCTCCAAGGGCCCTAACTGCTGCCCCGCCCCCACCCACAGAGCTGAAGGCCACGGGCACTGCCCACTTCTTCAACTTCCTGCTCAACACCACGGACTACCGCATCCTGCTCAAGGACGAGGACCACGACCGCATGTACGTGGGCAGCAAGGACTACGTGCTGTCCCTGGACCTGCACGACATCAACCGCGAGCCCCTCATTGTAAGGGCCAGCCCAGACGGGAGGGGGGCGCGGGCGCGGGCAGGGGCTGTCCCGCAGGCCGCACCTGACCCCCGTGTCCGGCAGATCCACTGGGCGGCCTCCCCGCAGCGCATCGAGGAGTGCGTGCTCTCAGGCAAGGATGGCAACGTGAGTGCGTGTGGTGGGGCCCGCAGGGGACGGGGCGGTGGGCAGGGACTCCCGGGAGGCAGGGGGCCAGGCAGGCACGTGGGTACCTCCCGGCTTTCCATCCGGCCCCAGGGTGAGTGCGGGAACTTCGTCAGGCTCATCCAGCCCTGGAACCGAACACACCTGTACGTGTGTGGGACTGGCGCCTACAACCCCATGTGCACCTATGTAAACCGTGGCCGCCGGGCTCAGGTAAGCCTGCGCCCCCTCCCCCCCAGCTGCCCCCATCGGAGGCTCCATCCAGGGTTCTGATGGGAGGAGGGGCGTGAACCCCGGCCCTGCCACTCCCAGCCCTGTGACCCTGGGTGAGTGACCTCTTTCGCCCCTCAGAACCTCAGTTTCCTCGCCCGAAAATGGGCTCATAGTGCCTTTCTCATAGGTCGGTGTGAGGAGGAGGCAGTGAGCTAACTCCCAAAGCTCTTAGCATGTGCCGGGCACGTGGCAGGCACCCGCTCCACACGTGGCAGCGGCTCCCTGGGCTGTGCCTGTGGATGGAGCCCGCAGCAGCTCCTGCCACTCAGCCGGGGACGGGGGGTCGGGGGGAGCTGCCCCTTCCCCAGCTCTGCCCACCCTTCCCGCTTCTGCCCTTTTCCATTTCCATGTGGGCACGTGTGTGGCTGGCGTGACCTTGTAGAGCGTATGTAGGAGTGACTGGACCTAGGGGCACGTGTGTGCAGGTGTGCGCCAAGTTGTGTGTATGTGTGCATGCACAGGCGCATCTGTGTACTCCGGGGGCCAGGTGCTCACGTGTGTTCCTGGCATGTGTGGTGTGAGAGGCTGGCAGCCCGAGCCCGCTCCCCCAGCCCCTGCCACCCCCGGCTCTAACCCCTGTTCCTCGTCTCCTCAGGCCACGCCCTGGACCCAGATGCAGGTGGTCAGAGGCCGAGGCAGCAGAGCCACGGACGGTGCCCTCCGCCCGACGCCCACAGCCCCACGCCAGGTGGGCTCATCCCTCCAGGCCCACGCCAGGCAGCCCTGCCTCTGAGCTGAGCTCCTCCTGGGCCCGGCCTTCCTGCCAGGACCCTGTACCCAGGCCAGGGTGCCCTGTCTCTGTGCCCCTCCCAGCCCCTCCCCTGCAGTGATTCTGAAGGCCCCAGCGGGATTCATGTCCGCTGTGTGCACCCTGCAGGCGAGAAATCATGAAGCCACCAGGTGGGGAAGACGGGAGCCTGGGGACAGCCATGCCTGAGCCCTCAGGGTACATGTGTGTAGACATGCATGAGCACATGCCAACATATGTGTGGGCACACATTTGCTCTCAAGCCCACATCTTGCTCAGCACTCAAGTGAGAATATGGCACATGTGTGCAGTCCGGCATCTCTCTCAGGGGTCCGTGCCCCAGGCCTCCATGGGTCCCCGGTCGGCACAGGGGCGGGAGGGGCAGAGCTGTCTGTCACTGGTCCTGACCTGGGACTGGGCTGGGGGCTGGGGGCTGGGGCTGGGCAGG